CCCTATATGAAAGGGGCATGATTTTGTGAAAAATCATTTAACCACACCATGTTACTAACATGCACCCTCAGGTAGTGAAGTTTCATGTGAAATTATGTTATATTCACTTAATAACTAGCAACTAAGAAAACTTACTATTACCTATTACTATTACTTATACCATAGTCATACAATTACTCTATTACAAGTGGGTGAAAACAGACAAAAGTAAGAAGCAGCCACTGTATAATTATTCATATTGAGGAAGATAAAATATGTAAAAATTTATGTCAAAACTGATAAATTATTGAACAATTTCATCTTAAATCAAGAGCGCGGTTATGAAAACTTTTGACTCGTGTAGGTCATTAACAAAAGGTCAGGTGTGTTAGCAAACCTGTTGAAAGAGGTTGCATTGAAATCTTTTACAATGCCCAAGTGAGAATACTAGCCAGGCCGGTCATCACGATTTTGTGATTTGTGGGGTCAATTTGGTGGTTGTAGGAAAAAAATTTATTCTAGGATGCTTTCAGGAGCATTTTCCCTTGTATTTGGCACAGTTTATAGTCTGGCACTAGTGCCTATCATTTTGGCATATATCACTGATTTTTTACAAAGATCTGTGCATAGTAAGTGTAAAGACTAAAAGGTTGACTATAGATCGCATAACAAACGGACAGACATAAAATATGAATAATTGATATTTGACAAATGTAAAATAAACATTAATTGACGTCGTTATAATTCTTCATTTCTATCTGATAATTATAAATCAATAAACACAAGAAATATTACACACAAGAACAGTAGTACTATTAGTCAAACAAAAACTGCCAGGTATTTTTGAATGTATTTTTGTCTTATTGAAAGTATAATTTTAAGCACATGTTTATTTCTGGATCAATGTTTAACATACCTTGTAATGAAGCATTTTCTGAAGTCTCTAACTGATACTGGTAGTTTTCCCATTGACAACTAGAAACTTCTCTCAGGTATAACGTTGACATTGCTTTCTTTAAATGTGGTTCTATATTTTTCCATAACTTCTTTGTATCAGTAATGGAAACTATAAAGAAAAGGGAGAAAACAAATATACAATACAAAACTTATTCCCCTAGCTTTCTTTGTATCATTGAATCTAAAAACAAGAGAGTCATCATGTTATTTCAGTGCCATAAGATTTCATCAAAATATTTATATTATGATTAAATCTAAATTGGCTGGAAAATGATATTCTTTTCTTGCAATATGCTGTATGTAGTATATATTTTAATCAGAATTACCTCCACTTAGTCTAATAATATTGTTAGTGTAAATATAGACAGATCAACAATGAAGAGAATTCACATAAATCTTAAATAGTACAAATGTATCACTTCTGAACCTTGTATAATCTCAGTTATAGCATATACTTTCACAACGACTGATAAAACATTATGTATCAAAATGTCATACTTATATATTATGAAAACCAAAAAGTAATTTGTATATTTTTTGTGCAAATTTATTGATGTAAAAAGGATTTTCTTTTGACTGTCTGAAAATAAAATGTTTTGTTCTTGTTTGTTTGATTGGCTTTTGCATCACACTGACACAGTATAGGTCATATGACAACGCTCCAGATTACTGGTGGAGGAAGACCTCATGTTCCCTTCTCTGCATTGTTCAGGCACGGACTGGCACTGGAATAGAACCACCGGCGTTCCATAGGCTAGCAGGATAGCTTCCTCACATGAAAGAATCTAAAGTACCTGTTGGGATTTGAACCCACAGCAGTAAGGGGTAAGTGGTTGAAACCAACAACCTTAACCACTCGGTCAAGGACGCCCTATGTTTGGTTCTAAAAAGTTCAAAACATTGTAAAATTACCTTCTCCTTTCTTTATTGGCTGTGTATAATGTTTGAAATTCAGTAACACCTACAGTAAGAGAATGCACCAAATAATGTTTGCATCATGGTCATAATATACAGGCACTGTTCAATATAGCATAATAAGTAAAGGACCATCAAACAAGCATCAAAATCTGCCTAGCAAATCAGATTTTGTTTTAAATCTTACATATATTTTAAGTTTTTGTGGCAATCTTGCAGGTCTGAGCAATTCAGAACAATCTTAAAGTTTTTCTTAATATTTTCAGATCTGGTGACAACAAAAAATACTTTCTAAATTTTGTAATAGACTATCTAATGATCTTTCTTGCAGTGTTTCATCAAAATTAAAATATCTAGCAGAAATAATCTATGTTTTCATTACATATGAAATTGTGAAATCTGTGAAATTAGAAAATACAATCAATTATTACTAAACACTTAAAGTAATTAAATCACATTTAAAGATAATAACTTCAAACAAAATTTTCAGTTTCTTTTGTGATACAACTTAAACAAGCATTTATAACCTCAAACTTATTCTACTTATAAATTTAATAAATATACATACCAGATGTTTAAGTTCTTTCAAATTTGTACAGGCATAATGGAAGATACTGAGGACAAGATTGACATACATGTTGTAGAAACCAATAGGGTAATCTTCCGGACAATCAAGGCATAAAATCTCTACAAGCTCCTCTGAAATAGATCAAATAATAATTCAAGGACTTTCATAATGGTTACAAAAAATACTTTAAACAGTGTTGTGATTGCCTTACGATTCAATGCTAGAAAAGGTCATATATTCATCAACACAGAAGTAGGTCATTCAGTCACAGTGGTAATGGCCATTTTTATTTGTTTGGTCGTCAGACCAAACAAATAATGGTAGCGAAATTTCAGACTCTAATGCTGTTAATTGCAAGTGCCGAAAGTAGTCCACTTTTTTGAAGCGGTTACTTCCCTTTATATGTAAACTAACGCCGAAAAATTCAAGGGAGATCACTGCGTAAAGATGGTAAAATGATAGGCGCATTAATGTTCAAGCAAAATAATTCCCGAATGGTCGAAGATTTCTAATATTGTTTTATTCTTTATAGATATACATGCTTATAGTAAGCTCCATGATTATTTACATCTGTGTTAAACAACAGTTAGCGCCGTTACAAACCCTAATCTAGAATAATATAGTTTTCTTCAGGCTGTTAACATATAAATTCACGGTGGCCGAGGGGTTTGCGCGCTCGCTTAGGAAGCGAGAGGTCTGGAGTTCAAATCCCAGTAAAGGCAACTCATTTTTTTTTTCAAATTGTTTAACCCATTACTTCATGAGCATTTTGTGAAAAATGGCTGTTTTCATTGAAAAGTCTCCCGTTACAAGTTCAAATTGCTATAATACTATAAAAACTGCTTCAACACTAATCAAACTTGGCACAAATGTTGACTGGACCATTGCCGTTGCAACAACATGCTCAGGCTTAAATTTTCTGTTACCATGGCAATGAGGGGACATCTCAAAATTGCCAAAAATCACTATTTTGCGTTGATTTTTTCCATCATAATTGATTTCAAAGTGCTGCAACTTCTCAATGGATTGAGATAGAGTCAAATGCTTTTCAGCGTTGGTTACACGTTACCTTATGATCAATCTGAGGTCATTTATAGCCTCTCACAAGTCCAAAATTTTCATGGCGATGAGAATGACTCCGCCCCCCTTCAAACCCCCCAAACAGAAGGGGGCACATCCCCCTTCTGGCAACCCCCTGATGTATCTTTTGGTTGGGGGGCCGCGCCGAAAAACTGGTCACTTTTTTTAACAACATTTTTCAAACAAAAACAAGTGTTGGGGGCCTAAATAAGGCATTTTTTCACCATTTGAGACACCAAAAAAAGGGGGGGTGAAAAAGGCGTTAAAAGGCGTGTATATGAAGTAATGGGTTAACAGAAAATGATGAAAATACTTGAAATTACCCTAAATCGCGTTTTTCCATGTTTAAACATGGCCTGTCATATAAATTTGAAGAAAAATTGTTGTTTTGTAGATTTTTTTATTTTTTTCATTAACCCATTACTTCATGAGCATTTTGTGTAAAATGGCTGTTTTCATTGAAAAGTCTCCCGTTACAAGTTCAAATTGCTATAAAACTATAAAAACTGCTTCAATACTAATCAAACTTGGCACAAATGTTGACTGGACCATTGGCGTTGCAACAACATGCTCAGGCTTAAATTTTTTGTTACCGTGGCAACGAGGGGACATCTCAAATTGCCAAAAATCACTATTTGTCCATCAAATTTGATTTCAAAGTGCTGCAACTTCTCAATGGATTGAGATAGAGTCAAATGCTTTTTAGCGTTGGTTACACGTTACCTTTTAATCGATCTGGGGTCATTCTTAGCCTCTCACAAGTCCAAAATTTTCATGGCGATGAGAATGACTCCGCCCCCCTTCAAACCCCCAAACAGAAGGGGGCACATCCCCCTTCTGGCAACCCCCTGATGTATCTTTTGGTTGGGGGCCGCGCCGAAAAACTGGTCACTTTTTTAAACAACATTTCTCAAACAAAAACAAACAAGTGTTGGGGGCCATTTGAGACAACAAAAAGGGGTGGGGTGAAAAAGGCGTGTATATCGCGTAATGGGTTAACAGAAAATGATGAAAATACTTGGAATTACCCAAAATCGCGTTTTCCATGTTTAAACATGGCCTGTCATATAAATTTGAAGAAATATTGTTGTTTTGTAGATTTTTTGATTAATTTCATTAACCAATTACTTCATGAGCATTTTGTAAAAAATGGCTGTTTTCATTGAAAAGTCTCCCGTTACAAGTTCAAATTGCTATAATACTATAAAAACTGCTTCAACACTAATCAAACTTGGCACAAATGTTGACTGGACCATTGCCGTTGCAACAACATGCTCAGGCTTAAAATTTCAGTTACCATGGCAACGAGGGGACATCTCAAAATTGCCAAAAATCACTATTTTGCGTTGATTTTTTCCATCATAATTGATTTCAAAGTGCTGCAACTTCTCAATGGATTGAGATAGAGTCAAATGCTTTCCAGCGTTGGTTACACGTTACCTTATGATCAATCTGAGGTCATTTATAGCCTCTCACAAGTCCAAAATTTTCATGGCGATGAGAATGACTCCGCCCCCCTTCAAACCCCCCAAACAGAAGGGGGCACATCCCCCTTCTGGCAACCCCCTGATGTATCTTTTGGTTGGGGGGCCGCGCCGAAAAACTGGTCACTTTTTTTAACAACATTTCTCAAACAAAAACAAGTGTTGGGGGCCTAAATAAGGCATTTTTTCACCATTTGAGACAACAAAAAGGGGGGGGGGGGTGAAAAAGGCGTTAAAAGGCGTGTATATGAAGTAATGGGTTAAGTCAAATAAACATTGAATTGAATATCAGTATTTAAATTAGTCTTATAGCCAATTTACTACAATTAAAACGCTGGAAAGCACTGGTGGCACTTTACAAAAACAAATTGGTTTATAATTTCACAACCTTCACCTTTCTGACATTCTGAGACCCAAACAAATTCAGCGCCTTCTGTGCTTTGATTCTAAACTGGGATACTATACTGTTTTGATTTGAGGCCAACAATATACTAAGAAAATACTTAGATATTTGTCCATTTTCCTCTTCCTAATCATTCTGAGTAAATTTAAACAACAATTGCCCTATGGAATATTTTAACATAGATTACCTAAAATACCATATTCAGAGAAAGAATCCAAAGTCTTCTGTGGTAATTAAATGGAGACACATTCAGTTGTGAAGTTTTTATGACCTAAATCTTTAACATTAATGTCTTTCAAAGCTTGAGGTTTGTAAATGAAAATGTTCTTCATTTATCATGATTAAAAATATCACTGATCTGATAAGCAGTCACATTTTCTTGTACGGAGGCAAGCATTGATGATTAAACTAAGTTGTTACAAACCTTTACTATAATCAGGAAAGTTTATCACAAATGGCTCACAAAATCCAGTACCAAATCTGTACTTTTCCCAAACAATATCAGATACCATTATCACACATACATTCAAGTCAGCCTGAAAAGAGTATTCTTGCATATCAGATTGTCGTTTACTTTAGTTTTACACATAACGGAAATTTAATCTGGCATAGGGGGGTGCTTGCTGTTCAATGGCACGTTTAGGATGACATAATTTTACCATTATGAATGAAGTTGTAATTGTATATGCTGTTGTAAGAAAATAGTTACGGGTGTAATGACATAAATTTCCATGGAATGAAGGAAAATTGTTTTATTAAGGTAAAGAGTTATTTATATAATAGAAAATGGTAGAATATGCAAAAAAGGTTCAGATCAATATATCCGTCAGTTGGGAACCCACCCAAAGGCAGGTCCTCCCTTGTGACGGATATTCTGATCCGAACCGCAACATATGACAGATATTATTAAGAATATCTATCTATAGTAGAGACTTATAAGCTAAATAAGCACACTGAGCACATACAATATACCTGCTAAACACAATACAGACTCCCTATTGTATAACCCGTATAAGTGGTTTTTTCTGCGGGCTTCAAATTCTGCGTTTTTTCCGAATTTTGGCATGTTTTTATTTCTGCGGACTTTATTTCTGCGGCACAGTCTTTGGACAAAACGTGATTTAAATTCTGTGGCTCATCTTATCAAAGTCTTAGTCACATTACTCTACCTATTTTATTTGCATGTACACATTCGTATTAAAATTTTGTTTATCATCGTAAAACTATATAGTAATTACAAACAATTATATTTGTTTGCTTGCAAACAAATATAATGTGCAACAATAGACAGCATGCATCTTTTGATCAGCCTGACATGACGTGTGAAAAATATACCCCGGTAGTATCTTTAATTTAATAAAATTGATAGAAGTTTATCGTAAATCAGACAACAATTAATGTATATGCCAATTATTTAGCAGTATAAGGGTTAAAATGGTTTTAATGATTTAGTGGTTAACAACCTTTTTAGCATACAGGCAAACACTATGATGTTTAAATATCTTTATTCATAAATTGGCATAATTAACAATAGGTACATCCTTACAAGCACATATTACATACTTAACCGAAAGCAATTTTATATAACTCGATGACCCGTTATAATCCGTTAGTCGATATTACTTTAGAGGAAACAGGTCATAATGTAGGACACATATCCTTACAAAATAAACATGGAGAAATATTCTGCGGTTTTTATTTCTGCGGTACTGAAACTGACCGCAGAAAATGCAGAAATAAAGTCACCGCAGAAAAAACCACTTATACGGTACCCTATTTGCACATTAAGAGCAAACCACTGGCAATTCATGTGCCTGCATGGATAATAATGTGCTAATTAGCTGATTTTGTGCCTATTTATTTCTAATTATGTGCCTACTTGGCTAGTCCTGTGCCTAGACGGCTATCATGTCCCTAATTGTCTATGTTGTCTGCCTATCTGGCTTATCATGTGTTTAATCATGTCTTTACTTGGTTAACCATTTTACATAAATTAAAAACAGTATTAATTCCAACATAACAATCATTAAATAAATTCTACTTGAGCTTTTTTCTACTTCTAACCTGCCGTATTTAGAATGTAGAACCTACCAATTCTTGCAGTTTCAGAAATGTTGGCAGAATATTTGGTTCCATGTCTCGAAGAAACTCTGCTTTGTCAAACACCTGTAAAAATAATGATTTTTGATTATCATTTTCATTTTTTAATATAATTATCTCTGGTAAAATGTTCAAACTCAGTTTAATGCTGCTATACAAATTATTCCATTTATATTCAAAATTATCAATAAAGTAAAACTATGGTTAAACAAAAGCAACTTAATGGAAGGTTATGCAATAAACATTTCTTTAGCATCAGTGAACCCAATTGACCTTACTCAAAAGAATTACAGGTAGTGCTAAGATAAAGTTGTTCTAACTCATTGTTTCTATTTCTAACTCCTTTTTTAGCTCAAATTTATTGCCTGTTTTTCAAGAAGCTATGATACAGATTGTCTGAAACAGGCTGAATGGCACGTCTTGAAAATGCATACCAGGAAAAAACCTTGATTCATCAGTGTGTCTCATTTATTTATTTGTTTTTGTTTTAAATACCGATTTTAAGACATCATTTTGGTCATATCTTGGCAGGTGATCCACCTAACCAGCTTTCCTGGATAACTAACCAGTAATTACCAATTTCTTGGCAAGTGATCAACATGATTTCTAAAGCAGCAACGACAGACAAATAACCATTATATTCACTGTTGAAGATCAATTGTAACATGGAAATGAGCAGCATCATGACAAAACCAACGTAATGGGTTTGCAACCAGCATGGATCCTGACCAGCCTGCGCATTCCCGCAGTCTCATCAGGATCCATGCTGTTTGCCATGCTGTTCGTTTCTCTGCTTGTTATAGGGTTTGTAAGCGAACAGCATGGATCCTGATCAGACTGTGCGGATGCGCAGGCTGGTCTGGATCCATGCTGGTAGCAAACGTATTACGTTGGTTTTGTCATGGCGGGGCTCAAATGTAGACTTGTTCAAGGATTGAACCAGTGATCCATGAATTTAATCTGATGCTCTTCCTATTGGGGTAAGCCGGCTTGGAAGTTAAGAAGAGTTAAGAAATGTAATTAAAAGAAAATGTTTATAAACCACATTGCATAAATCATATCAAATTTGTCATACTTCTAAACCAGGACCACTTCTTGAAAAATATTATCCATAAAATGGTCTTATGGCCCCAAACACCCCATGTGTAAACATCAGAAATCTTCATACCAGTAATTTAAATCCATAAGAATTAGTACAAAATTATGCTATCAAGTATGGCAGTTTATTAAGGATATGCAAACTGAAAGGTTCTTTAATGCAGAAAAATAAACTTATAAAAAATTTTCAGATACTCACAATATACAATGTTTCAGAATTTAGTCCAGTCACAATTTGCTTGAGATGACGTATAAAATCATTCATATTGTCACATTTGATAAGGTCAGCTGTTGCTGCCATCATATCAAAGTTGCCAGCAATGTAGTTCAAGATATATTCATATAAAAAACGTTCATTGTAACACTCCACACAGTTCACAATAACGTGAGGTAGCTGCAAATACAGAAAACAACAACTAATAATACTAATAATAAAACTTACAATACAACTACTATTACTACTACTAATAATAATAATAAATTAATATGAATAAAGTCTTTATTTAAATCTTAATGTATGTGTTTAAGATTTACATACCTTCATGGTTTTCAGTAGAGTATTAAGAACAAGAGTCTTGCCTGTTGATGTATGGCCATAAATAAACAAGGATGGTACACTCATTTGATGAGGCTGCCAATAAAAATATTACATATATCTGCATGTTTTCATTATAAAAACTAATGTCTCTTGAGTTTTCATAACTAACAACTATTTTTTTTATTTTTTTAGCCTTATTGTTGCATGTAGGCATAAGGTGCCTCTTTGCACAAGTATGCGCATAAGTAGACCCATGACCTTCCATCAGCAACCTGGTGTTTACAACTTCCCCACATGAAAGAAATTGAAGTCATTGACCACAGCAGTGAGTGGCAATGGTTTGATTGAAATTTGCAATTTCAACCACACTCCAAAGTCAAAGTACAAACAACAAATAAAGGATAATATCATATTGAATAAGTTTAAGTTCAATACTGAATTTATTGAATGAGTTGAATAAGATTATATCATGCGAGCCTCTGGCGAGTATGGTGTTATTGTATTCAATGAGTTCAATAAATCCAGTACTGAACTTACAAGAATTATTATTATATGATCTAAATATAGCTGTAATCTCATTGGTCCAAACAGTAGTCAACAGAACTTTTTATAAAATCATATTCACTGGGTGTAGTATCATATTAACTGGCTGAATTGGATTTTCCCAGTCTAAAAATAGATTAAGACTCATATTCAATGACCATACACCGTAGACTGTGTAATTACACGTGTTAATTGAAAAATAATTGTTTCTTTTTGTTCTTTATGGCATATTTCTCGATTAAAATATCATTACTTTACTATTATGCTCAAAGACTACACCGTAATGATGAGTATCAACTTGAATTATTTTTGTATGCGCAGCGTTGCATAGTCGTTGCACGCCTAACACGTGCGTGTTTTTTCCCACGCTTCAACAAGGCAAAATTTGTACATGTATATAAGGTTGTACTTTTTGTGACTCTTTTTATTCCTTATTCATATAATAAAACAATTATTGACTAGTGAGCCATTGAATATGATGTGATATTCACCGGCAGAAAGTCATATTGACCTCGGCTATCGCCTCGGTCAATATGTCATCTGCCTGTGAATATCACATCATATTCAATGGCTCACTAGTCAATAATTGTATAATATTTTATTACTCACATAGCAAAAAAAGCATCATTTTTCACTGACATGCCTTAAGTGTAACACAAACATTTAGCGCGTCTTTACACCATGTTTGTTTAAGGCAAATGATGACACATCAAAATATATGTACGGTTGTGCATTACCATTTTTACGGAGTCACAAAAAGCGGCATGGGTATGTGATTAACACCATTTCTAAATATGATTAAAGGCACCTTAAAAATATGTTAATACAGTTTACATTACTGAAATTGTAGATTAAGGTAAGACAACAGACAGCAAACAACAATATTATGTTATAACAAAAGCGCACTTCAATGCACTGAAGTATGCTACAATTGATCAACAAGGAACAAATTTTTTCTAAAACAGAATCAGGAAAAATCAGATCATAAAGAAAAGACACTTCATTCTAAAGCGAGTTTAAAAGGTTAAATTTTAGTCTAAGAACTTTTAGCTAATGTAAGCTAGGTTATGTCAATCTTAAATTATCTTATTTATACATTACCTTTCCAAATAAATCTTTTAAAACAGCAACCTGTTTCTGCCTACAATGTATAGCTTCCATGTTTTATTTCAAGTCTATAATTACACCTGCAAGAGAAAATATAGAAATTTAGCATACTGAGCTATCAAAGAATGATAATATGAGCCGCATCACGACAAAACCAACATAGTGCATTTGCGACCAGCATGGATCCAGACCAGCCTGCGCATCCGCGCAGTCTGATAAGGATCCATGCTGTTCGCTTTCCACCTCTTTTACAAGTAGAGAAACTGATAGCGAACAGCATGGATCCTGATCAGACTGCGCGGATGTGCAGGCTGGTCTGGATCCATGCTGGTCGCAAACGCACTATGTTGGTTTTGTCGTGACGCTGCTCATATATGTAACTGGAGGAAACATCTGTATTTAATACATCATCTTGTCTTTCTTCCCAGCAAGATTAATCACTTACCATTTAGCTAACATACTGTGACCTTGGCAAAAAATTCTGAACTTGTACATGTACATAAAACCGCAAAAACCATTTGATGTGCTATTTATTGTAGTGTATGTAATTGTGACAAAAAGCTAAAATATCATTTATACAAAAGATGTCATAATTATCCACTGTTTGCCACTATTTATTATTTTATTATGATCCAGAGTTTCTGATCATTCGCGCACTTCGTTTTTCCAGAATAATTATTCAAATTGTAAAAAAATGGCCCAAAATGAAAAGCGTTTAAACACTTTTCATCAAATTGGGCTAAGAAAAGCATAAAAATATGACTTTCAATTAATTTCAAAGTATATTTCTTAACTATCTTTGCATATATTTCTGTTTAAAGTGCCCAGCTCATTTATGAAAGAAATTCAATTTTGTTTTTAGGCTTTTAAACCTCAGTGGAGTCCCTTTAAAATGTTTTTTACTGACAGAACTTTGCCAATAGGCGACATGCAAATTACATTGAGGCTTAAAAATTTTGCCTATTTCTATTTTAATAGATATTATGTCTGAGACGTAAATAAAATTATCAGCAACTCAAAATGGTCTAATGGTCAGAGACCATCAACTTGATACTTTTTTAACCTTTTTCCATACGGATTTCATATTATTAAAAATTTTAAAGGTAGACATCTGAAAATTTGACACAGGTTCTTTTCCTAACTAACAGACTAGTTTGTTTATTTCTGATTTATGTTGGCACTTATATCTGAGGCCAATTTAGTAAGGTATTAAAGTTATCTTAATTGTCCACACTGTAGTATCACGTGTCTGGACAGATATGTACAGGACATTAATTCAATTCGATTAAAGCTTTGGTGTTTTAATTTTTTATTTTTAACATGATATACAATATTTCAGCTGTCAATGCTGAAGTTTTGGATATTCATTTGTTTTCTCTGCAAATGATTATAGCTAGTATAACAGGTCAGGTATTGAACTCTTGACATTAACATTTTCAAAGTCAACGTTCTTGAAATAAACATTAAAATATTACCATTTAGGAAAGTTGAAATAAATAAAATTACTTTATTATTAATTATAGAGCATTGTCTGGTATATTGGGACATCTAAGGCATATTACTTTCATTAGTTACTGTGATTTTAAATATGCGTGTTTCACTATTGATATTGAATACTTAGGATAAACTCTGTATGACTATTGTCTATATGGACCACTAACACAAGCATATGCAAAACAAACGCGATGTACCTTGTTAAACAGAACAATATAAGGGCAGTTTTGGGACATGTCTGACATGTATTTATGGGCAGCAAGAAAGCACATTAATTTAGTATAATCAAAGCACTGAATGTACTGATGGGGATGCTATGAGAGAATGTTTCAGACTTATAGTTTCTTTTCTTTTTGCTTAAAATATGCTACCAAAATAAAAAGATATGCACATTGCGCTATTTATCCTTACTGTTGTGTTCAACCATTCATATATATGGTTAATGAGGTTGACTATTCATTTTGTTAATATTCCAGAACATTTAATTAAGGTCTACATTCGGACTGTTCATCATGCAAATTTTGAAAAACCTAAACTGTCAATAATAAATGACATACCAGCAAGTATGACGACTGTTCATTATCAGATAACAATAACATTTTACAACTGACGGTTCCTTATCAAAATATTCTAGGACTGTTCATCATAAATATTTTATGTCATTTTAATATTATTGAATGATAATAACAACTGCAAGTGATGCAACATTTTTATTGAACATAAAAATTATACACGTTTAGATGTACCATAATTGAGATCAATAAGATACTGTCTTGTGATGAGTATTAATTAACATTCATGCTCTACGGACAGAAGGTTGTCTTCTTCAGAAGCAAATCTCGAATAAAATCACGTTTCAGAAAATTAATCCCATTTCATTACTGACGGCGTCGGATAATATTAAAGCTAAATATTTCTTGAAAAAATACATCTCTGCAAAGCTTATTCAAAACTGAATCAACCTAAGTGAAAATTGATCAGGAAGTTATATCTTCTTTTTTTACCGCCAACACTCAACACTCAACCAACTTATGGTAGTTAATCGATAGATTCTACGTGTATTTTTAAACCTCACTAGCTTGAAATATATACTGCGGAAAATATGTTGTTAACAGGGTGTGCCGTTATTACGTAGGGTTTTCCCTGTCGACCATTTCCCGCAAATAGACGAGAACATCGAAGCCGACAGTGCTATGAATGGTGTTATAAATGGCGTGTTTTGGAAGTGTTTGTTGAAACTTCTCCAAATACCTCCAGAGGCGTGCACGTCGCGGAGAAGGCACACGGAAGGTCATAGTCAAGTCATCATAAGTACCAGAGGTGATTGGTTGACCTGTCGTGACTTACTCTGGAGGTTTGGCGCTAATAGATGCCGTTTTTGTTGTCGTCAGTCAGAAAGTTGATGCCTTGACGGTATTGTCGTCTCCTTTACCACCAAAGAACGAAGAATGGGCTTCCAGGAAGAATCTGCTTGAAAAAGACGTCCCAGATGCTATAATCTCGGACATATGGTTATTCCGGCGCCGAGTATAAATAAACTTAAAACACACACACTTTTGTTGAAAACAAAACAACAACACATTTTCTGTAGTAATTTTTCAAGTGTTGTAAAATGAAAAAGAAATTCCTCTTATGCCGTCCATTATTTTTAGAACACAACCATAAAAGTTCTTTTTTTTATTTTTCAAATAAACATTTATCACTTCAGCGCGAGCAAATATCGGTTTCAAATTAAAGTTTCGTAAGATATGTTAATGACTTCCCGATGCTCGACTGTAAGTAATTTGTATATGTATGCGTTTTTTTTTTTGTTTTTGTTTTTTGTTTTTGTTTTTAATTAAAGCTTCTTATTCTTTAATATTTTTTATGTATCTCATAATCTGTATTGAAAATTTGAATTTTATTACAAATGGACTATCAAATTATGATGTATGCCCTAGAATTGAATAAACTTTCTAATTACACAATACGGGGTCATACTGATCTTTGCGTCTTTCTCTGAAATAATGATTTCCTTGTTTAAACATATTTGACCACATATTTCTGTCAATTACCTGTTCACTTTACTTCCGATTTTGTTGTACGGAAACACATGTTTCTATTTGTGTTTTCTAATCAATTCGAATCTATAATCAGTTTAATGGGAACACCACCGGGTAAACGACTACTAGGTACTTTGGTCATGTTTTTTACCACAAATATTTGAATGTTTCTATTGGGATTAAAATGAGCATAGTTAACTAAACAACTGTTTGTATAAATTCCTGACCTGTCTAATTCTAATTATGAGATTAGTGAATATATAAGACTTTCACTACAAAATATTCCTAAACAAAAGAGCACATGTTTAAATTTATTCCTATACAAATAAAAGATCAGAGTAGGGATCTGTCAATTACCAAAGATACTTTTATGTTAAAAGTTTGATTAATGAATTATGTAAGATGAAAATATAAGTATTGCTTTTTTTATTTTGCTAATGTAAAATGTAATATTGTGCTGGAATTTTGTCGGAGGTCCTTAGGGTTTTGTAGTTAAATAGTTTTTTTTCGGCGATAATGGTTAAAGAATATAATGTTTTTAAACTATATGTTCATCACCATCAGTGAATTTTTAGTTAAATGTATGCAAAATATTTACTAAACAGCTATATGATTTAGCGGTTTATGAGCGTTTTCCGCGTACAGCCTTCTAGGGTGTACTCATAAGTTAGTTTTCCTTAGTTATCACGCAAGCATGATCCATGTCTCTGATGTAAGCGACAGTTTACAATTATTTGTCTTTAAAAAATATTAAGGACTATTAATAGTTTATAACAACAAAAGAACATGCATGATATTGAGAATACGTAGTTGCAACGTTCTAGTTAATGACCCGTCATAAACAGTTGGTCGCTGCGTAGTAATTGGAAAATTGTTATCAAAAATAATAAAGAATATTTGCCACCTAATTAAAGCATTTACTTATAAATTTTCATTTATGCTTTTTGTTAAAAAATTATTGATAAAGTTATTATGTAGAAGGGTTTTCATACCAGAACTATTTATTACAGACGTACGTATGCCTAAACCTGATTACCGCGGCAGTATGACGTCACGGAGTAGTGATTTTGAAAAAATAACAAACAAAAATCAAGAATTTTTCAGAGAATTATTATCTTTACAAATTGCAGATATGAAATTAAAGAATGAAAATATTTTCATATTGTAAATGTCTGTGATGAGTGATGAGTCAGCTTAGAAAAAATCAAGGTACTATTTTTTGACCTGATTACCGCGGCAGTATGACGTCACGGAGTAGTGATTTTGAAAAAATAACAAACAAAAATCAAGAATTTTTCAGAGAATTATTATCTTTACAAATTGCAGATATGAAATTAAAGAATGAAAATATTTTCATATTGTAAATGTCTGTGATGAGTGATGAGTCAGCTTAGAAAAAATCAAGGTACTATTTTTTGACCTGATTACCGCGGCAGTAAGATTTGACAGACAGTTATTAACATTGGGTCGGCATAGCCTCCCCAAAAATAGTTTTGTAACAAAACATAGAGCACTAAATTTAATTTTGCATTCGCCATTGTTCA